TGTATTCGAAAAAATGATTAATATATTTATTTATTAACATGCTAAGGTGGTGTCATATCATTTGGTCTCAATGACAAACCTAATTTTACTCTAATTGGGCATCTTAGTTTTTTTTTTCCTTTTTCAATTAGGTCAATAATCACGACTCAATTGCACATGTCCTAAAATTAAGGTTTTTGGAGGGACCCATTTTAGCCCTCTTTTCTGCCTTGTTAGAAAAGCACAATAACTTTATCAGTGATTTTTCTAATTTACTGCTCATTTAGCCACCCACTTTAAAAGGCTCCCCACAGTAGTCTTGTACTAAAGAGATGATATGTTTTCACTTTACGTTTATAAGATTACATTTTTTTTCAATAGAAAAGTAGGAGCATAATGACTAGTGAGAAGAAGAAAAAAATTTAAGGAGTTTTACTTTTGAGTTTGATTTTTGTAAATAGTATTTTAAACGTAAAATTTTAAATGTCATGTTGATGTGAGAAAATGTAATTTTTAAAGTCATATGAAATTTGGATTTATTTCTTAATAAATTCTAAAAATATCCCTATATTATTAAAAAATTATATAACAGCCATTCAACTGCAACAAATCCCACAAAGGGCGGATGAGAGTGAACCTTTTTCCCCAATTAGTGGCTCCCACATTTGAGAGCTTTTTGAATCATCATGGGGATCTCCCAGTGGTAGCATATAATACCTACCTTTGAAGGTATAAAATAGAAAGAAAATAAATAGTGGCTAGCTAGTCTAGTCTGGCTTTTGTTGCTACAGGCCTATAAACTCTACTTTTAAAAGTGAAAGTCTGGGATTGCTAGGAATCCCATTTGAAACTTCCAGGAAATCTGAATTTTATAATTCAGTTGCCAAATAAATTTATATTCCAGGGTCTTGGCTTTTGTTTAGGCAATGCAAATACTCCCAGTTTACTTGTATAAAAGAACATTTATAGTACTAAGTTTCTAATTATACTTTTCATATTATTAATTAAATTCTAGGTTAATCGGATATATATATATATACAATGCAGTTAAAATTAACAGCACAATGTAGAATAAAACATTTGATAGGACCAATCATGAATGTAGCTGATCATCTCTCTTTATCAGCAATTGTGTTTTGCTTTGTTTGTGTGTTTGATGAATATTTGATTGTTTCTTTTTTGGGTTTTACTTTTTTGTTATCTTTTTGAGGTGGTTAAAGTGAAAACCGCATTGGGATATGATGGAAGCAAAGCAATAATAGAGTAGATGAGCATAAAAAAAAAATAGTGAAAGATGAGAAGGGGACGGTGGTGGGATGTGGGAATCCATCTGTCTAAATTTATTTGCAATCTCTCTTTCATGGTGGTGGCAACTCCTTTTCTTTTTCCTTTATATTATTGATTTTGCTTTCAATTTTTATTTTTCTACCTTTCCTTTTCAATATGCGTGTGTGCGAGGGAATTCAATTAGGGGATGTTAGACAGTCTTGGACATTGTGGGGGTGACTGTTCTATCCCATTCAATTTTGGTCAATAGCCTCTCATTGTGGTTGCAAGATTTGGCCATCATTTCAATTTATTGTGAGAAAGAAGGGAAAGGGGGACCAATGTTTGGTTGCTGGGAGAAATTGGATTTATGAATAATATGACTTGTCTTTTCTATTTTATACATATATTGTGCATGTTTGACTTGTCTTTGAGCTGTTATATAGTTATGCAAATTATGAAAGATAGTAATGGAGAATTGAGAAATCAAAGGGAATCACCGATCAAATTATTGCTAGCTAGCTTCAATTTCTTCAAAGGCGGCCAAGCAAGCTCCCATCCCAAACAGACTGAACTTCAAAAGAGGAAATTTGGGGGGGGGGGGGGGGGGGGGGGGTGGAAATTGGGTTGTAGTCAAAGTCTCAAAGAAGAAATTCCAATTCCGTATTAGATGGTATATATAATCTAGAACTGAGAATCATGGCTAAAACGTTGTCTGTCAGCTGATCAAGTATCAAATTCTTAATTTTGCACCAGTCCCAGTGCAATGCTTGTGGTGACCTTCCACGAAAACAGCTTGCTTATTGAAGTTGCACATTTTTCTCTCAACTGTTTTTACGATCATCAGGGAAAAAAAATCAAACGAAAGCCCGGTATGGCGCCGACAAAATTGAGCTGTTTGGAAAGCAAGAAAAAACATTATCCATGCATATCTACAAGCGTTCATCTACTAATTAAAGGGTACACAAAGAAGAAAGAAGTAAACAATAATGTGACAAGTAATAGTCATCTTAATTCATAATTTAAGTCTTTGTTTGCAAATAGTTTGCTTATTGAAAATTTCTTTTTCAAAGAACAATATATATGCTTATTTATATTAATCTGCCCCACTTATTTTGATTCTGTATAGAGTTATGATCTGTCATCCAAAAATGACATGAAACAGAAATTTCATTGGATTAAATTATATTGGGAATCAAGATTACTAAATATTTGATGATTTGATAGCAATTTCACAATCAAGATTCATTAGAGATATGCTACATTCTGAATTTTTTTTTTCGTGGTAATGGGCAGTTCATTGCCCCAATTATATTCCATGCAAATTTAGCTGAAGTAATTAAGTGCATCAAGATTAGGTGCTCTTTCATAAATTTAGTGGTAGATCTCAAAATTAGGTATCCAATTCATTAATTGTTGACTTCTAATGCCACATGTTGTGGACTTCCAGACAATTCCAATTCATGAATTTATGTATGGGAATGCCATTATTTCTTTTTCTAACAAAAAGAATGTGATGATAAGTTGAAAGATTAATATAAAAAAAAAGGGGAAATAGCTCTGCCAAATCTTAATAAAAAACAAGAAATGAATTGTCAAAAAAAAAAGGGAAAATATTAAATGAATTTGTATAGAATGCCAGTGAGCATAGCCAATATATATAGGTGCTTTATTTCCATAACTATTAACAATAAGTTCATTTTAGTCCAAGCATGGCCATGATAGATATAACCAGCAAATCTAGGTTAATTTGTTGGTGTCATTTGGAAAAAATTGCAGGCTACATCTGTGTGATTTGTTGGTAAATATTAGACTTCTAATTTCAATTATCAAGGATGTCGTGTGGAGAACCATTCACAAATTTTTATAGCGTTCCTTTTTTTTTAGTCAAAATAATATTTTACGTACCAATGATGGAGGTTTTTTTTTAATTAAAAATGATGGAATTTATTTTTAAATTTCAGGAAAAGATTCATTTAATAATTAATTAGTTTATTATTTTTCTAAATATATTCTAATAAAATACTTATCAATTTCAACCATTTATTCTCTCTTGTGGAGCTTAAAAAATACATTATCTATAGGATATATATGCAAAAATAAAGATATAAATAAAAGAAAAAATGATATAACTATTCTTTCAAAAAAAAATAATGACAAAACCATAGACATCTAATGTTATTTAAAGAAATTAATTTGATTGGTATCAAACCTTGTGATTCAAGTTAGCACTTTATTTGGATTCGCCAGAAGAATGAGTTACAGCTATTAAATGTTATTGGGAAGTTTTTAAAAAGTTTGGAATAACTTTAATCGAAAATCAATTACTTCTGTAATTAATTAGACTATGTCCTATGCATATAAGAAAAAAAAATTTAATAACTTACCTCGAGTCCTGATGCCTATAAACATCAGTTAAGGATTATTTAATTATTATTTAAATTTTTTTTTTGCATTTAATTCATTGCTTTTATCAAATTAAAAAAAAAAAACACTTATTAACAACATTTCTACCTTGTTTGGTTTTTAATAACCTAGGATCCAACAAGAAACTTTTAGGGGCACTTAATTCTTTTGTAATAATGATGTCAAGACTTTATTATTGAAGCCATTGCTTTTAATGTTTCTTCTATCATGCGTTTGAGAATGCAATTAATTGAAGTAAGTCGGTGGGTTTTTCTTCTTTCATTAAAATTAATTTATGACTTTTTTTTTATATATATAATAAAAACTGGTGAAGAGTTAGGCTAGTAGTCTCTCACATAAAATCACATCCTTCTCTAACTATATCATGCAAAACCAATTGAACCCCTAACCTGTCACACAAAATTGTCTTGAAATAAAACCCCTTTTTTAAAGATGACAACGTGATTACCTTATGAGAATTTAATTTTAATTAAAATTAATTAATTAATTGTTATAACTTTAATTACCCCACTTGTGACTGGAAACAAGGACTAAAATGACAAATTTTGCACTTATTGCTATATTATAATAATTATAATAAAATTTAAAATTTTCATCTAAAAAATTTCACAAAATTAAAGGTATTTTTTTTTAAATACCAAAAAAAAAAATCAAATTCTTAAACGTAAGAAAGTGGGGGTCCCACAATACATTATTCACTCACTATCCCCCGACCCCATGCCCAGTTGTCCGTACAGAGACACCGGCTAAAAAAGAGACAGGGGACGAAGATAAAGGCAGAGAAACTGGGAAACCGTAACTGGGCCCCACAAACGTGGGCTTGAAACAGGAAGAGAGTAGAGTAGAGTAGTATCCCACACTTCGCAAGTGCGATAAGGTAGTGGGGTCCACTTTTGGGTCACGTTCACAACGGGCATTCGCCTGTTTACATTTTGTTTTTTTTGTTTTATTATTGACGTTGTGATCAGCTTACGTGGCGGAGACTGCATGGAGCTGATGCGTGGCAAATATGCCGCATGTCAGTTAAACAAAAATCACAGCCTCATTGTCTTTGGTTAAAACACCAAATCCCACGTTTTGAAAGACACAAAGGTCATATTGCAATTCCTTAAATGCCCCTACATGTCTACTTTAACCCAGAAAAACACGGGGTATTTAATCCAAAAATTAAATAAAAATCCCATTAAAGTTAAAAAAAAAGGGAAGAATTTATATAGTAACCAAATCTAAGGACAATATCTGCCGCCATATGTTTTGCTAAGAAAATTTGTGTACAATAAAAATAACGATTTGATTCCCCCCTCCCTCTCTCTCTCCCTCTCTCTCTCTCTCTCTCTCTATATTTATTTATAAAAGCAAAGTCTTTTCTGACTTTCTCTTCTCTCAATTAGACACCCAATTTTATTGAGGGAGAGACGGAGCCCCCTCTATCTGCCTGTTTTTTCTTCTTTAACTTTTGCATGCACATTTCTTCTCCTTGTTCAAGCTAAAGACTCTCTCTTTCCCCTCTCCCTTTAGATCTCTCTTTCTCTCTGTATCTCTATATTATTCCTTCTCTTAGCAAACTAAAGAACAACAACAAACAACTACACATCAAAGCAAAGCAAGCCAAACCAAACCAAACGTAGAAGCAAAGGATAAAAAACCAACAGCTTTATCCAATGGCAGTTGAAGCTCGGCATATGAATCTTTTCCCAGCGCCTCAGTTAATCACCAACAGGTACTTTAAAATATCTATCTCCTTTTCTTTATTAAAAGAGGTTTTAATTTGTTTTCAAGTTTCTTTCTTTCTTCTTATTTTAACATGATGTTTTCTTTTATTTCTTTTTTGTTGTAGCAGAGATTTTATTAAAACGAATCAAGGGAGTGGCAATATATACAATACCCAGGTGGATTCTTGTGTTCCTTTGGTTGATACAATGCAAGAAGCTTCACAGCTTTTTCCATTATATCAATCCCTTGTTTGTGATCCAAATATTTCAGCCAAAACTTCAATCAATAAAGCTGATAGTGGCCTTACCTACAACATGAATATCCCGGCTTCAGCTCCAAGAAAAAGGCCTAGAGATTCGTTCACCAATGGCTTTGATTCATACTCAGTTGCTCAAAAGAACAATATTTCCGGTGTTTCATCTCTTCTTGATGATGATGTCTTCTCCCAGATCCAACAACAACAACATGACATTGACCGCCTCGTTGCTGAACATGTAAGTTTTTTAAAAAAGCCAACTTTTCTTAATACAGCTGTTTCAATGAAAAAAAACCCTTCTTTCCTTTTTTAATTTTCAGTTAACGTGATAATTTATTGATATAAACTTTTCATATTTTTGCATTAATTACAGACAGCAAAAGTGAGGTTGGAACTTGAAGAAAGAAGAAAGAGGCAATCAAGAATGTTGATTACAGCAATCCAAGAAGGGGTTTTGAAGAAACTGAAGGAAAAAGATGAAGAGATACAAAGAATGGGGAAACTAAACTGGGTCCTTCAAGAAAGGGTTAAAAGTCTATATGAAGAGAACCAACTGTGGAGAGATTTGGCACAAACAAATGAAGCCACGGCCAATTCCCTACGCACCAATTTAGAACAAGTCCTGGCTCATGTTGGCGAGGAACGCCATGTGAGCGGGGAAGGCGCCGCAGCCGCGTTGGCAGATGATGCAGAGTCTAGCTGTGGCAGTAGTGACGAAGGATGGCGCAAGGTGGTGCCACCACAACCACATGGGAGTGGTGCTGCTCAGGATAAGGTGGTGGTGGTTGGGAATAATAACAGGAAGTGTAGAAAGTGTGGGGAGAAAGAGTCAAGTGTGCTGCTGCTGCCATGCAGGCATCTATGTCTCTGTACAATGTGTGGGTCCACCCTGGTAGGCACTTGCCCTGTTTGTGATTCTGTTACCAATGCCAGTGTTCATGTTAACATGTCATGAAAGTTTTTCTTTTTTTCTTTTTCTTCTTTTTAGAGTTTTAGTGAAACAAGACAAGAAAAAAAAAGAAAAGAAATGCAAATATCTTTTTAGAAATGGATTATAGAAATTTTTTTCATTATTACTATCTGTTTCATCTCATTCTTTATCTATATTTTTGGTGTGTGTTTATCTTCTCTCTTGTTTTAGTACTCTATGTTTTTACCATCGAGAACGGTGATTTTTACCTTTCTAGTAACTGGAGAAAGGCCAACGGGGTGAGAAACTACCCAAACTTTTTTCCTTTTTTTTTTGGTTATATGGGATTTGTTTTTAATTCATTTGGCAGCAAAAGACTGAAAGGTTAATAAAAAAAATGATTTTTGATGAATTGGTAGAATGCAGGGGGTGAAAAAAGATATGGTATTTAGACTTTAGACATTTGGTTGTGACTTGTGAGGGGAATCTTGTGTTGATGACTGAACTGTGTAAAGTAAAAAAATTGTCAAAGTTAAAGCATTATTGTTCATTTAACAAGTGGGGACAATTCATTTTTCTGGTCTCTGCAACACAACTTTCTTTTTGCTTTTCTCCTTTCTTAGAAGAATGGGTTAAGAGTCCTGACCCTTGAAGGTAGATATTATTTTGATTTTTGAGGGGGTGGCCTTCTTTGTTCATAGCTTCATTCATGTTATTTATTGTTTTGAATCTTAAAGGATCCCCTTGGGAGGTGGTCACGTACCAATTATGAGTGCCCTTTATTCTGTGTGTTTCGAATTCCCAACCCCTTTTTTTGCCCCAAAAGAAAAGGCAATGGCAGGTTGGGTTAGTCCTCCCTCACACATCCATCAATTTGTACCAAATCTCTTCAATCCAAATATCTTTGCATAATCTAACATTAACATTTTAATTCGGTTCCATTATAGTTTAATTTGAGTACAAAAGCCCTTGAAAATTTTATCATGTTGGTTGTCTTCTCAATGTTCTCAATGTCTTTGCTTTTAACAACATTGAGTTAGCATGCGATACAAGGCAATATAATGGCCAAAAGGTGAATTGAGAAATGGATTTTATTGAAGGTTTATTAGAAGTAAAAAGCCAATTACCCGAAGTTCACCCCACAAGTTGGTTTTGTTGGCCAATCTAGGAAATGATAAGATCTAGAGCCCTCTTCTAGGAATCCCCTTCCATATATATATATATATATATATTAGAATTTCAATCATTATTCATTTCTAATAAGTGGTCTTCGTTTCAATCAAAAAGTAAAAAACCATGATTTTAGTTTGTACTTACTCTTCAATTGAAATTAGATGAAAAGAAATGATTGATATGCCCCAATTTTCTCCCCATTCTTTTTCCCACTCTTTTCTTCTTGACCTTTATAATATCTTTTGTTTTTAGTCCAAATTTCTTTATTTTATAAAGCGTGAAAGGCAGGGACAAAAATAAAGTGAAATATGGCTAAAACAAATATTTCCATTCACTTGTCAATTGTCATTTCATTACTATTTTCAGTTCCCATCAAACAAAGATTTTTATGAGGTAATTCTATATTAAGAAATATTGGACAAAATATCTCCAAAGCAATTCTTCACAAGATTATCACAGTACAAACTTTTTTTTTTTAGGATGCTCTTCTTCATCTCTTTTTTGAATCATTTTGGGTCAGGTGGGATGCCATGAATTCTTTGTCTTTTTTTTTTTTTTTTTCCTTTTAATAAGAATTTTCAAAGACAGAAAATTAATTATGGGACTCTCAACTTGGTACCCAACAGCCAAGGAATTAGAGCTAGCTAGCTATCATTTCTAGGCAACCAAGTGTTAGTTGTCTTTCCTTTCCCATGACTAGATTTGCTCTAGAAAAAGTCTGTCAGCTCAACCCTTTACTTTGAATGAGTGGTATTCAATAGTATCCACTATAGAAGAGAGGTTTGGTTCCTTAGCTTTATTATTGTTGTCATTATTTGATTAAGAAATTATAGTAGTATTTATTTGTTGTTAAATATAGATAGTTAGATGACCAAGTTTTAAATGCTTAAACTAATAGGATAAGGTTCTAAGTATTGTGTTGTTTAAAATCTAATACACTCCTCTACCAACAAGTTTAATAAATGATTAATGAACAAAATTGGACAGTTTCAAATTAGAATTTGATATTTCAATTCTAATGAAATGTTGTTGAGTTAGTTGAATGATTAATTATCTCTAAACTTAAATTAACTTAAAGGGCAACAATGGAGCCAATTATCCATTTTTTTCTTCTTCTTCTTCAAATTATATTTGAATTATTGGCTAAAAGTTAAAGCAAATAGGGATGAGGTATAAATTGATCACTTAAATTGTGTAGTTAATTTTACTATTATAGTTCAACTAGTTAATTCACAATATGAGACAAATGATTAAGATTTAAGATTTTTATATAGATATATAACATTAAATGATATCTAGTTAAATATTACTTAAAATCTAAAAAAAATATCGATAAAAAGAAAAGAAATAGTTATTAACATTAATTAATTAAGATATTGAAAAATTAAATTAGAGGGTGAGATAGATGTGCATTAAAGTAAGAGAACGTGGCAAGTGGGAAGAACTGAAGGAGGAGCTGAGACGTCAGATATAAAACAGGCACTGATAACTTTTCAACGTTGGCCCACTCCCCATGTGTAATTTTATACATACAACAGGAATATAACAGTACTGCATGGATTATAATAAGATATGTAATGTAGGGAAATCTGCATGGCAATGGAAGTACCATAATCGGTTTTTGCTTCAAAAGAAACAGCGTAAAATACAGGGTAAAGGCAAAAGAAAAAAAAGAAAAGAAAAGAAATTGAACAGAGACCACTGATAATCTTTGAGTAGGACCAATCGAAAAAAATGGTTTTGTCTCTCTGTCAGCATGAAACCCCACACACCTTTATATGCGTGATCCAGTTGCAAACTCCTACTTTCCTTTGCTTTGCACACACATCTCAAAATCAGCATCATTCATTTCATCTTTTTTACATCATTTTGTCATTTGTGTAGTAGTGTGGATATACAAACCCCTCCCAAAAGAAAAAAAAAGAACCCTAGAAACACGCCGAGGACCTGCAGCAAAGGTGTACGGTTGTGGGTCGTGACTTGCTGTGAGCATGAGAGAAGATCATGCATTGAAACTTCGGCGTTTTCATCTTTCTTTAATCTGCTGCTGCAGCACGGCAGTGCAGATGTTAAATAATATTCAGTACTAAAATAAAACCAATTTTCTTTTTTGTGTTGGGGTTTGGCAGAAAGCTGTGACGCTAATCTTGGAGGGTGCAAAGCCGACAAAATCAGATAAAGAGTGAGAGAGAAAGATAAAAAGATAGTTGAGAAAAAAAAAAAAGGCCATAACCTGCTAATTTTGGCACTTTTGTCAGAGTTTAAGTGTCCCATAAATTATTTGTCTTCTGAATAATGACAAAACCCTTTCGAGGGGGGAGGTGGATCCACGTGAAAGGACTTTGCTTTGCTTGGCTTTACCCTACCCTTTGTGGTCTCTTCTGCGTTTTTGACAAGTGTAATTTTTGCCATCCTTGTTTTACTGTTTCCTTACCAACCTTCTTCCATGTTATGTCATGTTTTGGGCCCCACTTTTCGTTTTCAAGTTTCATTGAAGTTACTTATTTGATTAAAATTGCTTTCTAGAGTTACTCGTTAAAGTTTCTCATGAAAGAAAAATGGGATCGATAAAAAAAATTATAAAAAATAAGGTTGAAGAAGGCATATATCTAATTACACATGACATCTCATGCTTTCTTACGTTTCGACTAGTTTCCAATTGATTTTTCCTTTGTTTTTTATTGGGTGTAGAAATTAAATTGCCATGGCTAGAAATTTCAACATGTACGAAAGGGAAGCAGATAAACACTATTTGACCAGGTTTAACTTTCAAAGTTAGGCAGGTTTTCTACGTGAAGATAAGAGTTCCAAATGAGAGACATGACAAAGATACTCAAAAGAAAGTAGATGTGTCAAAGGCACTCAGAAGATTGATTTTGATGTTTGAATAAAGTAGATGAGGAGGTTTCTCCTCTTCCTTTTTCTTTTTTTTTTTTTTTTGTTTTAGTGAATGATAAAGAAAGATAGAACGCTAGACAACTGACATTGAAACAAAGAAATTTGGTGATGGTGGTGGGAAATTTTCACAGAATAATCGCTTGCTGGTCAGCTAGAATTTACAACCAAGAACCATAATTTCTAAAGGGAAACTTAGCTTTGAAAAGTCCCAATTTTTTTCCTATAGGAATTCCAATAAGGGATTTTAACCAATCGTGGTCCAAGTCTTCGATCAAAAAAAAAATAAAATTAAGGAAGCTTCCTTTGTGATATTGTTGCATGGAGTGGAGACATTGTCTATTAGCAATGAAGCATAATTCAACATGACTTAAAACTAATATCGCGTCCAAATTAGATTGTCTCAATATTATATTCCTTTGTTCCTTTTGGAAAGATTGGTTCATATTATAGACACCGATTTTGTCTGTATCTACTATTTTCAGTTCTTGTTAATTAATAATAATAATATTAGTTTAATTAAAATAAAAAATTTATTAATTTTTAATTATTAAAAAATAATATAAAATATAAAATACAAAAAAAAGAAGAAACATAACCAAAAAAATTACAATGGCAGTGGTGCCTTGCACGGCACCACTGGCCACCCACCCCGAGTGTCACGGACCTAAGGGGAGTCTTGAATCTCATATCGAACATAATAGGAAGGTCCCTGGGGTATAAAAGGGTTCACACCATCTCCGCCTTGTGAGGCGCCTTTTGTAGGACAAAACCGTGAGGTCAGGGGGGCCAGAGCGGACAATACCTCACAAGGGTGTGAACCGTGGCGAAAGGCTGATCTGGGACGCCGGAAGGGTGAATGCCCGGGTCCCGGAGCCGCGCGGGTTCGGAGCTTGAGTCTCGACCCGTGACACCGAGCCTGTCTCCTCACCATACCTTGCACCTCACTAGTTCTGACTGTCCAGAACCACCACCCATTCCTTGCCAGGCATACGCTCAACCTGCTACCACAATCTTAGCCCTATAAAGCACCAGATCTCTTTCCTTTCAGTCGTTTTGAAAGCTCTTGGACACCCTTTT